GGGCGTTGTTGTACGCAAACTCGATCAAGGGAAGGGAGTCTTCCCATTGGGTCGGGTCTGTGCACGTCGTGCGAATCAGCTGCTCCATCGTTTGATTGGTGTTCTCAGTTTGGTCGTCCGATTGCGGGTGGTATGCCGTGGACAGATGCAGACGTGTGCCGTACTGCAGCCAGGTTTTTGTCTAGAAGTTGGACGTGAACCGTGGGTCGTGATCGCTGATGATTGCCGAAAGAATGCCGTGTAGCCGCACGATGTTCGTGAGGAACAGTTTCGTTGTCTGCTCGGCAGTGATTGTCGTCTTGCAGGCGGCGAAGTGGGCCATCTTGGTCAACCGGTCAACGACGACGAGGATCACGTCGTTACCACTTGAACCAGCTGGCAGGCCAGTGACGAAATCCATCGTCACCTGTCGCCAGGGTCGGCTAGGTGGCTCGAGCGGCTGCAGTTGATAAACTTATCTCCCCATCTGCCGCCCGTTGTTTCCCTGTCGGAGCTCCTCCTTCGTCTAGATGCATGCGCCACCAGTCGAGTACCGGTCCCCTCAGCAGCAACACAACCAAGTTGACATGCATTGTCATTAATACTTGCTGCCGTGAAGAAGATTTCCATGGCGAACACCCACCCGCTCACTCTTGTTGTCCTGTCGGTCGGGTTGAACTGTGGGGGCATCAAAGGCTTGTTTTTAATGGCCGCCTGCGGCTCGCTCTGGACTTCTTCAACTGCTTCAAGTGTCGTCGACGCCCTCGGCTCGCTCGCATCATCTTCGTCTCGGGTAACAGGCCGCCCTTGACGCATTTCACCCCGCGTCTGGAGAAGTGACGAGTTTTTGTTGCGCAGCGTCTGAACTTCGCTTCCTAGCAACTCGAACTTGTCCGCGAGTTGTTGAAGCGGGGCCTGCAGTGTCGTCACTGTAGCCGCCCTGGCTTGCAACTCGTCAAACTCCTCCTGAGTCACGTTCCTAACACTACGACGGGCAGAGGTTTCCGGTGTGCTAGTCATGCTGGAAATTTTACCTTACAGATCTGAGGGTGCACACGCTTTTAGTTGGAGGAGCTTTAACGAGCTCGCCTACCAACCACTAGCCGACCCTCTATTCTGTTGGGTCCTCTTCCGATATAATCGGACTACTCTACGGAAGACTAAACGTTCAGGAACGGGGCTCTGATACCAGGTGTTATGAATTAATCAGAGTAATAACAGGTAGTGTAATAAAGGAGTCATGATTCAAGAGTGTCGATACAAATGAGGGCCTAGGCATTTATAGGCACGAACAGAGCTAGCCGAGAACCATGCGAACAGGTTGGGGAGATTCGGTTGGCGAAAGCCACGGAAGCGCTGCGCCTCGAGGTTTGGGTTCGCAACGTGGTTCGGGACCGAAGAAGTTGGCCGAGCCTGGACTTCTGAGAGTCGAGGGCGCAAGCGTTGTAGTCGAGCCCAGTAAGGAAAAGGGAATTTCCTTATAGTTGGCGTGGCTGCTGCTGCTGCAGAAACTGTTGCTGCTGCTTCGGAGCGGGTGGCGGCCGTTACGGCACCTGTTGCAGCTGTCGTGGCACGTGCTGTAACATTCGTTTCTGCTGCTGGTTCATCATCATGGCGCTACTGTGACACCTCGCATGCGATTTCGTCCAAGAATGTTTTGGCACGTCCAGTGCTGGCGGCGTTCTCGGGGGCGGGCGAGTTCTGGCGCGTAGTCTCTTGCGTCTGGCGAAGTTCGATAACTTCGGCGCGAAGTTTTTCGTTGTCGTCTAGTATAGCTGTCAGGCGAGCCTCCGTGGCAGCGAATCTTGCCAACAACTCGTCAAAGTGTGCCTGGTCCATGTGGCGGACACTACGACGGGTGGGCAGGGAAATATCAGTGATTAATCCGTTCTCAAGTAAGAGCGCAAACGCTATCGTAGTCGGTCGAATTAATTCGCCTAATTCGCGGCCGAGCGCTTTGCACCTCAGTAAGCGAATTACTCCCCTCCCCAAGAAAAGGTTTCCGCCTATGGAAGCGGGTAGGTCAGGAAAGTAACTCAATACCAGCGCGGAGCGCTTTGGAGTGACGGGGAAATGGTTTGGAGCCATGTTCGGGCCGAAGCTTGGACAGGTGTAGGTGCCGTGCGCGGTTGGGGTACTGCGCTAGCGGTGCGGCGCGCTATGGCAACGATCACGTCGCCTCTTGTTACACCTGGGGGGCATGCACTATCCCAGCCAAAACGTACCCGCAACAGCAGAGCTGATAGGGCATGTCCAGCGCTTACGTATAGCGTACGCGAACAATCCACCCAAAACACAGTGAACAGTGATTTTTAACCCGTATTCGGAGATAGACAAGATACAGTCCAAAAACGCGTGGTGTAGCCTACCCTTTTCCTTGCGCGAAAAGGGAAAACGGGCGAAAACGTACAGAAGTACGTCTGGTCATCGCCCCGCGTCCGCAGTGACTCGTAACCACAAAACCATTTCGTCATACACGAAAAAAACGACCTGTGCGAATATTTCGACCATTGGCCGACGAAATTTTCTGTTTGGTTGTGCTTCGCGGCACATGTCCACCTGGGAGTCATTCGCGCAGTACTCGAGGGTCCTACATTTCAGGGACACAGAACGTTACATTCACACTCGATGGTACAATTTTCTGGCGTTTGCGTAGTACGTACCGGATGCTTCCAAAGCCCGAGACGTGCGCGCTGGACAGCCCTTACAGTTTTGTGTTCTCAAAGCCAAACGGTATCAGTGTTGTGTTGTGTTGGGTTCGGCTGCAAGCAAGCCACGCCATGCCTGCGTCCCAGACTTGCTGCCGCCATGCCTGTCCTACAGCACCACCGCCGTTTCTCAGCAGCCGGCTATTCTTGTCTTGCGCTGGAGACTATGGTCGTTCTTCCGCGCTTACTTGGACGAAAAGCAGTATCTGTGACTATCGTATTGAACGGGCCTGTTCGGCCTTTGTGTTCCGCGCCCTCCTTGGAATGCGGTCGGATGATCCTGTGCGATTCCGCACTCTTCCAGTGCCGCCGTTGTGTTTCCACGAGCCTCCAACGCCAAGTTCGCGGTCGTTTCTTCGCACCGCTAGTAGTACCGGTAGTACGGGAGATTTTTCCGCAGTGACCCTCGTCAAATGGACCCAGCCCGGCACTTCCTTGTGGGAATAGCCTTTCGAGATGTCGAGTATTTCAAGCTACTATACCCCTTCTATAACCTCTGTTACCATGAATTCTCGGCACGTAGCTGCGTACCATATCCGAATGCGCCGATCGCAGTCCCTCCGTGCGCCGATTCTCCAACCCTAGCGCACACCCGCCGCTCCTCTGCGGAGTTGGCAGCCGCGCATGGCTGCCCCACTCCCTGTCGCGTGGTCCTCCCTCCGCCGCCGCTGCGCGCCCCCCATTCTCCTCCTACTGCTCCTCGTCTTTCCTCCCCTCGCCCCTACCTCTTCCGAATCTCCTCCCGAAGTAGCAGCAGCAGCAACGGGGAAGCTGTGCCTCGCGAGCGAGGCACAGGGGTTCGCGACGTCTGTTGGCCAGCTGGGTCTGCTGGTGCAGACAAGGAATGACCCGGGCCACCCATCCTTGTCGCCCTCGCGATGTCGTCGAAATTGTCGCGAGTGTCGCAACGGGTGTCGTGAATTTGACGAGGTTGGAGTCCGCTGCGGCAGCGACTAGCATTCAATCGGCTGCTGTCGCAGAGCGACTGCCTGTAACGTGGCGAAAGGGCGATGGCACGAGGATCCGTCGCTGCCTGTGTACAACACGAAATCGTGTCCGTTCATCCCTAAAAAGTTCGACTACGTCTCAAACGGAAGACCTTATAACGCGTATGAAAAGTGGCAGTGGGAGGTAGACGAAAAGGCTGGGTGTACACCACCGCATCCTACACCAACTTCACTATGCGAACAATTGAAAAATAAGAGGATAAGCTATATCGGGGATTCTATTATGGAGAACACGTTTGCGTATATGGCGTGCATCATGCACCAATTCCTGGGAGCGTCTGACGTCATGCCGAGCCGAGTGGAGCGATCTTACATGCTGCACTGGTCGTCCTGTAATGTTACGCTCTCCCTTATCTGGTAAGTGAGTCTGTCCTTATAGGGGACGACTTCTCCGCTGCTTGGTGCCGCGCACTGTACTGCTCACACGCCAACATAGCGCTTGCAAACCCTTTCAATCTGCCATGCTTTTCCTTCAACGCCACGACTTTCCTCCTCCTCCTGATGTGGATGTCATGGCACATTGGCATGGCATGTGATGGCAAGCTGTGGTATGATAGAAGTGTGTTCATGGTGCAGACATCATAGGTGGATCCGACTGATCTGTTCAAAGGAGACGAGGTGGATGTGAGCACGCCTGACAGCACGTGGGCGGTCCACATTCACACATATGACGTCATCGTACTCAACAATGGTGAGTGGCTTAATCTGCACGCCCGGCCCAAACTGCATGCAGCATGCCTACAGCGTGAATGTGGTCCATACTGGTGGGGTCAGAGAATAGCACACGGCACTCGTCTCACATGTTCCACCATCGCCTCATTGTGTCTCTCCCGCTCACTACCCATCCTCTGCATGCTGCTTCTCATCCCCTTCACCTCTCCTTCCACCTCCCCTTCATCTCCCCCTTCCGCCCCCATGTGCCTCCCCTTTCATCTCTCCTCCCTTCTACCTCCCCATCCTCCCCTACTGTGCTCCATCTATGCCCCCTCCCCCACTCCTGCCTCCCGTCCCCCTTCTGCCGCTTCCTTCCTACAGGCCAGGGTGCAAAAAAACGGTATCCGTATTATATGGTCCGTTTTATACGGTCGTATAATACGCCAGATTTTTGAAAAAAACACCGTTCTTTAATAGACGAAAATCTTTGGAAAAAAAAAGGGCAGACATGCAAAAACGGACAGTACCTTGGCTATGACAGACTACCGAATGCTACGCGGGCTAACAAGCAACTTTCCAGGTCAGTCTAGTCTAACTTACTCCTACTACTCCTCCACAATGCCCCCCTACTCCTCCACCATGCCCCCCCCTATTCCTCCACTATGCCCTCCTTCCTCCCTCACCACGGCTCCTTCCTCCGACTCCCCCTCTTCTTCCTACTCCTCCTCTTCCTCCTCGTCCTCCCCACTGTCCCCATCACTGCAGTCCCACGGGTTGCTCCCCTTGGTCCTCTTTGCAGGCTCCTCTGGCCCGCTGCCCTCGCTGTCCGTCTCCGCCTGCTCCCCCTCCGCCTCCTCCGCCTCCTCCTTCTCCTCCTCCTCCTCCTCCTCCTCCTCCTCCTCCTCCTCCGCCTCCTCCTCCTCCTCCTCCTCCTCCTCCTCCTCCTCCTCCTCCTCCTCCTCCTCCTCCTCCTCCTCCTCCTCCTCCTCCTCCTCCTCCTCCTCCTCCTCCTCCTCCTCCTCCTCCTCCTCCTCCTCCTCCTCCTCCTCCTCCTCCTCCTCCTCCTCCTCCTCCTCCTCCTCCTCCTCCTCCTCCTCCTCCTCCTCCTCCACCACCACCACTTTCTCCTTCCCCTTTCGGGACCCACTGCTTTTCTTGGCCCGCTTCTTGCTCCGGCACTTCTTCTTCTTCTTCCGCCCGCCGATGGAGCCAAACGTGTCCCAATCGATGGAACACGCTACTCCAGCCACACACCCTCCCTCCTCCTCCTCCTCTTTGGGCTGCTGCGGAGGGGGGCGAGGCACATTGCTGCCCTCCCTCAGGCTGCCGTTGCTAAGGTCGGCGTACAGCCTTGCCCGGACCTCCACCCTCTGGTCGTAGGCGGCGCGCGCTCGCCTGCCAAACTCGACGAACGTGACATCCGTCATGGTCTCCGCGTTCAGCTTGTTGCAGTCGCGCCTTTGGACCCAAGCCAAGGCCGACCAATAGCGCTCGACCTCGCTGGAGGTCACTGGCTGCGAAAGGACCTGCACAGCCAGCACCTGCAAGGCTGCAACTTCGCCGCCGTACATCCACCACCACTCGGCGTCGGACAGCCGGCCACTCTCCACAAGGGCCGTCGCCGCCCAGCGGGCGTCCACCAAACCAAGGCGGCCCTCCCCCTTGTGGAAGGTGGCCAGCTGCGTTGCAAGCAAGGTGCGGCGAGCCACGTCCCCTTCCCTAGCCTGAAACACAGCCTCCGCCCCATTCCGCACCTCGTTGTCGTTCCGCACCTCCCCCACATACTGGTTGCGCGGGTTCAAGAGCCACCTTAACGACTGAAGTGGGTTGTGCAGCTGACCATCCCAGCGGCGGGCGATGATTTTCTTGACCGCCGCCAAGAAGGCCGCCCTGTCCTTCGCATCAAGCAAAGCCGTGCGCTTCACGAAGAACGTGGCTGCACGAGATGCATGAGAAGGAGGGCGGGATTGCAACCAGGTGAGTACGGGAACATAGAGGCTGACGGGACGGCGGGATGGCTATTAGAGGGTGATGCGAATTTAGAGGTGCGCTTACCAGCTGCCTCGGCGGCGGCGTTCATGTTGACAGTGGCCTCCAGCATGAGGCTGGCCCATGAGGAGAGCCTGCCTGTTGACGGCCCGCAAGACCCCATAGACAGGAATCATGAGCTTGAGGACCGCCGAAACACTCTCCCAAAAGACGTCCTCCAACAGCAGGCCGCGGATGGCCTTTCCCTCCTCTGTGCGTGCCACTGCCACCTCCTCCCACGCTTCACTAATCACCATCTCTCGCAGGGACTTCTTCACTTCAAGGAAGCGCTGGAGCATAAGTACTTGCATCCCAAAACGAGTAGTCCCCGGGCGCACGAGCTCCAAGGCGCTGAAGACTTCACGGAAGAGGGTCACCGCGGAGGCGGACGTCTTAACCATCATGACGACGCGGTGAACCTGCCCGAGGACACGGTGCACGACGGGGAGGGCGCCCATGTCATGCAACATGAGATCAAGAACGTGGGCAGCACAGTTGGTGAATTAAACCCCTAGGTACCCCTCCTTCAGCAAGGCTGCGGCCTTCTTGTTGTTGGAGGTGTTATCCATAACAACTTGGATGACGATCCGGTCCCCCACTTCGCAGATTGAGCAGCGGATCAGCTCGGAGAGGTAGCTGCCGGTTTTTTTCGCGGTTTTAGAGTCGACAGTGTCGACCACAACTGGTGCGGTGTCATTTTGCGCGATGACGCACACGAAGCCACGGCTCTTGAGGCAAGACCAGCTGTCCACGGTCAACGAGACCCCGGTCGTTTGCCAAGTATCCTTCAGCGGCTGTAGCAACTCCTCCGTGTCGGCCTTGAGCTTCGCGAGCAGCGGGCCCGAGACCTTGTATGCGGATGGAAGCTTGTAAGGCTTCCCGAACTCGATGGCCGCATCGACGAAGGCCTGCAGGGAGGGCAACTCGGAGGTCCGAAAGGCCCAGTCGTTATCCGCGACAGCAGCTGCCCACATGTAGTCCAGACGCGAACGTCCGGCCATATCCGTCAGCTCACGAATATCGCGCTGACGTGACCGAGGAGTCGGGTGCACCGTCTAGGACTCGGCGCGAGTGGAGCCGACGACGGTCGAAGAGCCCTCTACCTCGGGAGTCGTGCGCAGCTGCTTCGCAAACTCCGACGGGCACATTGCGACGTTCTTGTGCTTGGACTTAGGAGTCCCATAAAGATGCTCTCCGACCCTAGTAGCGTTCGGAGTGACGGAATCGTCACAATATCTGCAAACAGCGCTAGTAACAAGGCCGTTCGGGCCCGTCACTTTCGTCACATACTCCCATAAGGACGACAAGGGCCTAGGCATGGCGTGGCTAGGAAACGCCGCTAGCTGAGGAGTATGTTCGGGTGGAATGCCGCCAAGAAAAACGAAACAATGGATTGTGCTCACCTTGCTGGAGATGTTCCGTGTTTGTTCCTCGTAGCCTCGCTGCAAAGGTGTGAAACAATCGATGGGCTAGCTGGGAGGGAACGGAAAGGACGACTTGTGATAGGGCGCGAACAAATTCAGCGACTCGCCAGAGCTTGGCAGGCTTGCAATGCGCGCGAAAATTAGGCCTTCTGTGCGTGAAAAGACCCAACAACACTGACGAAACGGGTGTACAGGCCCTTCAGAATTCGCCAAATGTTGGGTCTGCACGGCTCGTGAATCCGTCAAATCCGCGGCTCGGTGAAAACCGGAACTCAACGTTTCTGGGCGAGTACAGAACAACTCGATAACATCGTGACTTCGTTACAAAAACTAGACCGACCAATGTTTAGGTGGGTTGAAAAAAACGGCCGTACTAAACGGCCGTATTTTTGCACCAACCAAAAAAGGTACACTTTTAGCGTTATAAACCATTTTATATGACCGAAAAATACGATTCCATATTATACGCCAAAAAAAAAAAAAAACGGCCGTATTTTTGCACCTTGCTACAGGCAACTGGTGGAATCCACGGCAGCTGGTCCGCTACAGCCTCACACTGAAGCTGCAGTAGCGGCATCAACGCCGCGTACCTGCACGGGCTGGCCACCATCCTCGCCATGCTCCGCCGCAAGCAGCGCGTCATGGCGCGCGTGTTTCTGGTTACCAGCGTGTCCTTCCAGTTCAACGCCAGCTGTCCCGCTACGCGGCCCATTGCTGACATGGCGACGGCGCGCACAGTGATGGCTATTCTCACTCGCGGGAAGAATGAGGTGTTGAGGAGGGTGTTTGATGAGGAGGGTGTTAGATGAGGAGAGAGAGAGGGAGGAGAGGGGGATAGAAGAGGGGGGAAGGAGGAGAGGGGGAAGGAGGAGAGGGGAAAGGAGGAGAGGGGGAAGGAAGAGGGGGGGAAGGAGGAGAGGGGGAAGGAGGAGAGTGGGAAGGAGGAGAGGGGGAAGGAGGAGAGGGGGAAGGAGGAGAGGGGAAAGGAGGAGAGGGGGAAGGAGGAGAGGGGGAAGGAGGAGAGAAAGAGGGGGGAGTGGGAGAAGGATGAGGGGGAAATGGAGGAGAAAGGAAGGGTACGGGGCAGTGAGCAGCAGACACAATTGACTGGTGTATGGGAGGCGGACAGCAGTAAGCAGGTGGATAGCACCCGTGTGTGTGGCAGCATCCGAGTGGTTAACATCCATGACTTGTCTCTCTTCCGCCACGATGCCCCACCGCACCACGCCAGGCAGTCGCGCCTGCATGACTGCGCGCACCAGCTCGTTCCAGGTGTCAGGCTCACCCGGTGCGCCTGCATGACTGCGCGCACCGGCTCATTCCAGGTGTCAAGCTCACTCAGTGCGCCTGCATGACTGCGCGCACCAGCTCGTTCCAGGTGTCAGGCTCACCCGGTGCGCCTGCATGACTGCGCGCACCAGCTCATTCCAGGTGTCAGGCTCACCCAGTGCGCCTGCATGACTGCGCGTACCAGCTCGTTCCACGTGTCAGGCTCACCCGGTGCGCCTGCATGACTGCGCGCACCAGCTTGTTCCACGTGTCAGGCTCACCCGGTGCGCCTGCATGACTGCGCGCACTAGCTCGTTCCAGGTGTCAGGCTCACCCAGTACGCCTGCATGACTGCGCGCACCAGCTCGTTCCAGGTGTCAGGCTCACCCGGTGCGCCTGCATGACTGCGTGCACCAGCTCGTTCCAGGTGTCAGGCTCACCCAGTGCGCCTGCATGACTGCGCGCACCACTGTGTGCAGGGTGAGCCTGACACCTGGAACGAGCTGTCGTTGGGGATGATGGCATGATTGGGGGGGGTGAAGTGAAAGCCAGCCGGTTACCAGTCGACTGTTGATCCAAGCCCATCAAGCCCACACGAGGCACACACGAGGCACACACGTGCCGGCACTTGGAACGAGCTGCTGTTGGGGACACTATGCCAAACAGGGCCCCAGATTTCAGACGAAATCGGTCTGATGGTCTGAAAATCAGACTCGATTTTTTAGTTTCATCTGATTTGTTAGACCACCCATTTTATTTTGTCAGAGCGTTAAGACACATATTTGAATTTCGTCTGAAAAGACAGACACTGTGTTATATTTCGTCTGAGAAGTCAGACAACGTTTACACTTTTGTCTGAAACTTATAACTGGGTAGACCCGTGAAAACTCGGATAGAGGCAAATTGTACTTGTTTGCCCACAATCCTGAAATTTTGGCTAAGTCACCAAAGGCCAGAGAGACTCCGCCCACACTGTCATAAAGTCACCAGTCCTAACCACTGGGACAACAAGGGATGTCATCAAGAGGGTTAGGCTCCATATATCCACCTTCCTCGGAGAAAGCCTCCCCAGTACCCTCCTTCGAGAGAGAGAGAGGATCGACAGGGTTATTCCAGTGCCACGACACACCCCCCCGCTGGGATAGCGTGTACACTGTACACTAGGAATTGAACCCCGGATGGCTTTGATACCATGTCATAAAGTCACCAGTCCTAACCACTGGGACAAGAAGGGATGTCACCAGGAGGGTTAGGCTCCATATATCCACCTTTCCCGGAGAAAGCCTCCCCAGTACCCTCCCTAGAGAGAGAGAGAGAGAGAGGATCGACAGGGTTATACCAGTGCCACGACACACACACCCTGCAACCTACAAAATTTGGCCAAGTCCTGTTTTACAAACATCCCCCCCACACACCAAGCAACCTACAAGTACAGTATCCGCTAAGTCCTCGTGTACAGACATTCCCCCCACACACACACCCAACAAAAAAAAAAA